TTAAATCCCAGTAGGATTAAGGAAACATTTCAGTAAAATGCAAACCCTAAAGTGTGATGGGGAAAAGGAAAAACGGCAGATGAGCACTTCTTTTTGTCCCCATCGAGAACAAAGTTATTCTTAATGAGATACTGAGATTTTTGGGAAGCCTACTCAAAAATTCAATAGTGTTTTATCTGGGAAAAATAATTATTCGAAGATTGCTTTCTACTGAGGCGTTACAGATGGAGGCTTTGTGGTGTGGTAGTTTAAAACAATTGGTCTTTATCTCTAGAGAACCCTGAGACGAATGTTGCCCAGAAGCGAGAGTAAAATTGTGTTTTTAAAGCACCATTTTAGGAGCAGTGGGACGGTTGGCAGACTTTACCAAAGCTGTTGAGAGACTCTGCAGACTTTAATTACCATCTCAATATTGCAGAAGTTGTTTAATTTCTGCCAAAGAAGGGAATAGTTGTGAGAAAGTGAGATCACACTCTGTCTTTCATTCTTTCCTTTTTGACAGGTGAATAAAGGATGCTTTTCAGTATCTCCTCTGATACTGTGACACGTTTGTAAAATTTGCATAGAATTGTAAAATAATTTTTCTTTAAGATTAACAAAGCTTTTATTTTTTTCTTCTCTTTTGAAAGTGCCATACAGCATAGCGTGAATGCAGTTTAAATCTTGTCATGAAAGAAGCAAGATGAAAATGGAGTGCATTTTCTGCTACCGATTAGTCTGCTTCAAACATGAATAGTTTCAACCTTCATGGCCAGAGAACATGTATTACGTTGTGTTTATTTTAGAGGCTCCAATAAATTCTAAATTCAGGTTTGAATGCCGTCTCTGGTGTGGGTGGTTGAAGGCACAACCTGGATTAGTAGAATAAAGAGGAAATCATTAAAATGAGAAGAATCATTCCATTTTTAGAAAGAAAAATAAGCCTATAATACAAAACTTCTTTGGTGAAGGATATGTTTACTCTTTTAGGCCTCAAACTCTAAATCAGAGTATGTATAACTAGGTTTTTCACTGTCATTCATATGAGAAAAAGGCTGATAATATATATTTTTTTCCTGTTTTAGCAGTTCTCTTTCTCTGTGACACCTGAGTGTGTTCGGGTTTTTTCTAAGTGCTTGCAGTAGCCAAGGAAATACTGATTCTTTGAAGACTCTTACCAGCTCCTTGAGTAGATCTACTGTGTTGTGACTTTTTTTTTTCTTAATGACTGCCTCTCACCTGTCTGTACTTGCTAAAACACCAGCCATTGTTTACTCTATAAAACCCCTTTTTTCCTCCTTTTCTTCAAGTCTCTTATCTCTGGAGGACCTTTTCATGCTATCTTTCAGCTTCAGATCTCTGTTGTCACAGTATACAATATATTCAGAAAGGTACTGCCCAGGAAGTCTACTTATTTGTAGTTTTTACCATATATATGATAAACTGGTACTCAAGGGCAAAGGGAACGTGCTTGTCCAAAATCCAGAAAGGGAATGATAGATCGTGGAAAGAAATAGGCACAATTTTTAATCCTTAACACTCATCCTGTTAGTAGGAATACCTTTATGTTATATTTAGAACTTGGTTGTTTTGGTGTTTGAAACTAAATGTTTGCAGTTTGTCTGGCAAACTGCATGCTGAATAGATTACACTGATTCACATTTCCTTATTTCAATATACCATCTGTGCTTTTGGCTGGTTGTTAGCCTGGTTGGGACTCTCATTTCATAAATGCAAGTTACAAAGAACTGTTATTCCCAGAAAGAGAAATCCTATATTTCACTTCCTTGAATAATCTCAACTGTTTTGACCTTACACCAGCAAGGACACGAGGCTGAAGCTGTACCTAGAGCAGGCTTTCCTTTTGCTGGTGAAGATGGATGTATTAGCAGGGTATAAAGATCCTCTTGGTGTATTTCCAGTGAAATGCTAGTGTATATATAGTCATGGTCATGATTTTCGTTGTGTAATCATTTTAATTAAGTTCAACGATAAAAGTTAGTCTTGCATGAGGAATGAATGCACTAGAGAGACAATGAAAGATTGATGACAGCTTGGGGAGCATCATGTAGTCTGCTGGTGGAAATGCATGTGTGGAGAGCAGCCAAGCTTGCGTAGCAGGTCAGAGATCACCAGCTCAGAGCAACGTCCAGGCAAAGTTTTGGGGATCCGAAAGAAGTGCGATACAAGGGGAATATCCAAAAGCATTTTTGGTAATATTTCTGAAGGTTTTTGCTTGAATGAATAGCTTCATTACTAAAATAAACATTCATTAATATCTGCATCATTTCTGTAACTGCTAGCTTAGTAAGGTAATTAGTATAATTAGTATACAGCATTGCTTGGTGGCATGATAAATCATAGTGTAGTGAATGTTGAGTCTTTACCACTCTGATGTATTATCTAATTTACACAGGTGAAAAAAAAAAAAAGTAAGGGGGAAATCAAGAAGGGAAACCAGTGGTGACAGCTGGGTGGCCTTTTGGTCACTCTTCTTGCATCAGCTGCCTGTATTCTCAATTGCTTTGAATCGCTGCACTGTTAATTAATTAATTCTTTTTCTCACTGTTGCTAAGTCTTAATCACTGATTGAAACCTGCAAAGAGAGGCCAGAGAAGAATTAAGTAAAAAAGCAGAGACTAGCAGGTTTTTTTCCCTTCAGGGTACTTCTACAAAAGATGATACCCAGCAAACACAGAGTTAGTACTAGAAGAAATATCTCCTTTGCTTTCACATTCTTTGGAGGTATCATCTACCAGTTACAGTTCAGTGCAAGGATGAAGAATGTTAACAATGTTTCTCTTCATTATATTCTGTTTTCTAGAACCGATGAGAACACCGAAAACTTTGAAGATTGCTGAGATCCAAGCCAGACACATCGCTGTGGATTGGGAATCTCTGGGTTACAACATCACTCGTTGCCACACTTTCAATGTCACTATATGCTACCACTACTTCTGCGGACACAACGAGAGCAAGGCGGACTGCTTGGACATGGACCCCAAAGCACCCCAGCATGTTGTGGATCACCTGCCTCCCTATACGAATGTCAGCCTCAAAATGATCCTAACCAACCCGGAAGGAAGGAAGGAGAGCGAGGAGACCATTATCCAGACAGATGAAGACGGTACGTGTAAATGCTGTTATGGAAATTACATCCAAGTCCAGTCTAGACAGGTGGAAGGAAATGACTTTGTGTGTTACAATATGCGTCCTGCAAGATGGAAGTTCTCTTCTATTAACATATTAATTAGCCCTAACCCAGTAGCTTTAAAAGTATTATAGCTGTCACCCTACATATATAACCCAAACTGTCCGTACAACGCAAGTCAAACTCAATCTGTTGACTTGCGCTATATGGACACGCATATAGCACAGTTGAACTTACCTGAGATGACAAGAAATGAAGAATAGATGTAGATGTTAATAGTGACATTCAGTGGTTAGGTTATGAATCTTGGTATGAAAGAGATTAAAATAAAAATAGATATTTTTCCCTAATAATATTAAAATGTGATTTTTAAAGAGCAATTTTGCTTTCCTTTTGTTAAATTTAGATTTCATTAAAATATTGACAACAAAGTGAAAATAGATACTGCCATCGGTAGCAAAAAAAAGAATACTTGGACTAATGTAGGAGTGTAGATACATAAGAAGATAAAATTGAAAAAGGTAGTGTATTTGCCTGTAAAGTGGAGAGAGTATAGCTTTATGTATGGGTAGCAATCAAGGTTAGAATCTGGTAGCACATTTTTGCCATATATTTTCAATTTTACAAGAAATAGAAGAGGAATATGTTTACTGTTGCAATAAAGAAGAGAGAACAGCTTATTAAATGGGTAGAATATGAGGAGCTGTAGAGAACTAGAGAGACATAAATGCATCATGTGAAGATTTATTGACAAGTACAGAATTAGAATATTTCGTGCAATTCAAATTTTAGCATTACTTTTAAAAAAATTATGAATATAATCCATGATGAATTATTTCTGTATCTGTGTTTACATTATAGATATTCACAGTTGCTCTTTTCCTTGAGGTTTAAAAAAAAAAAAAGTAGTAATATTGTTATGTCCATGGAAAATGGATTTTCTTTTCTTTTTAGATGAGTTTTCAAGACAGGCTATGGTTTCTGATAGTATTTATCTTGTTAGATGTGCGAAGATGGTAACTGGTCACTATAGCGGTGCTTGTCAAGAGCAGAATTAAGTGCATGTATTTTGTCCTCTGGTTTTGTTGTGGATTATTCTTGGAAAATGATGCACACAAGGCAGGTTTTGGTCTCAAGCTGGAACATCAGCATGCTATCAGTGAACTTCAGTTTAGAGTTAGCTTTGGTATCAGAGGTACCATAGTGTAGAAGAAGCCTCACCCAGTGAACAAAAGTTGCTAAGGTAAACTATTTCAAGCAGATGTTGTTTTCAAGGAGGGATTAATACATTATAAAAGGTATCTATATTTAGACACACTGGTGGTAATAATGCTTGTGACCTGAAAATTCCCTCTTGTGAGGTCTATTCAGTGATACTATTGGAAATGAGATGCAGATTTTTAATTGTGCGTTACAGATTAACTTGAAAGTCTCTGTCCATTTTGTCATATATTTCAAAATACAGCATATGCAAGCAATGTGCAATATGGAGGGCTTTCAGCCATCTCAGAGGATCAAAGGTGCATTCACACCTGCGTCTCTCCTTGAGCTGTCGTAGCAATGGTAACCTGACTTCTGTAGTTGAAGCAGTAGTTCTGTAATTGACTTCTGCCTATGTGTAATGCTGCTAGTTTAGGCCCATGTGGTCAAGTATCTGAAACTGTTTTAAAACACAGTTTACAGCCTAAAGCAGAATTCAGACAAAGATGAGGCTTTGGGCAACGTGGTCTAGTAGAGGGTGTCCCTGCTCGCAGCAGGGGTGAGTTGGAACTAGATGATCTTTAAGGTCCCTTCCAACCCAAACCATTCTGTGATTCTATGATGAGAGTGACAGGAAGATACATGAGTCTGTGCCCCGCATATTTCATGTGGGGTCAGAAGGAGACTCATTGTCATGGTGATTTTTGCAGCTTTTGTAGAATGAGCATGATGTTAATTACATAGTGGAGGCATTATCAGTGATTGATTTATGAGAGGGAAAATAGAGGGATCCAGTATTTTCCTACTATATTTTTGTAAAAACTTGGTAGACTGTTGAAGTTAAAGGTGTGTATCCCATGTTTTCTTGTGTCTCTTTGTTTTTACCATTTTGCTCTCTTCTGTTGCTTTGTCCATCTTCCCTGTGCTTCCAGCTCTCTGTCCCTTTTGTAGAATCATAGAATCACAGACTGGTTTGGGTTGGAAGGGACCTCAAAGCCCATCTAGTTCCAACCCCCCTGCCATGGGCAGGGACACCCTCCACTAGACCAGGTTGCCCAAAGCCTCATCCAACCTGGCCTTGAACACTTCCAGGGAGGGGGCATCCACAACCTCTTTGGGCAACCTGTTCCAGTGCCTCACCACCCTCACACTGAAGAATTTCTTCCTAACATCTAATCTAAATCTACCTTCTTTTAGTTTAAACCCGGTACCCCTTGTGCTATCACTACACTCCCTGATAAAAAGTCTATCTCCATCTTTCCTATAGGCCCCTTTGTTGTTGTTTTATTTTAATCTTTCCCTTCATCTCTCTTCTTCTGTCATTTCACCTCCTCCCTTCTGCTAGGAGCTTTACACATATTTGAACTTCTGGGATTCCCTGAACGCAGAGGATCTCGGACTTTTGTGGGGCTCTGGTGCGAGGCAATGAGGATCTCTGGTTGTCTTTAATAAAAGATCACGTTTATATAAGGCTGCCTGGCTGGGTCAGACCTCCCAGAGTGGCGAGTGCTAACTGAGCAGTGTACGGCACCAGGAGCAGAATTAACTCAGGAAGCAGTTAGCAGAAGAACAGGGTAAGATTCAGAAGCCATGTTTCAGACCTTTGGAGCCGTGACTGACAATTGAAGAAGGTTTTAATAGCTTGTAATTCAGTACCTGCAAGAAAGCAAAGCCAGGAATATCAGTCTGAAAATAGCCTCCTTTCTGACCAGACCTAAATGTGAATACTTGGTGGTTTTAAGTATTTCTGTTTAACTTGGATAGATGGAATTAATCTTTAAAGTATATTAGAGGAATTTGCAAAGAGCTGTATTCCACGTAAAAATTAAGCTCTTGGGCAATATAATGTTTAAAAAGTTGTGCAAAAAGAAGATGAAAGCAAGGAAATGTTTTTGTGGGTGAAACACCATCTTTCATTTTGGGGAGAGACCACACTATCACTAAGATTTGGGAGAAAGTTCTTCTGAGTACCCAGGCACTCGTCATTATCTGTGCCATGACAGGGACTCACTGCTTCTCCTGGCTTGTTTAAAAAGAAGATGGACAGTGTTTGAAGGAAAAAGAGGAAGGCTCGCACAATCTGGGGACGCACACATGCCGGGCAGAGATGATGTTTGGCATTTCGAACAAAGTACAAGAACCAGCAGTGAATTTATCACTTAGCATGAATCAGCAGCGTGCACGCGTTCTCGGAGCTGCCTGTTCACAAGGGCACTGCGAACTCAGAGGGACCCTTTTAAGAGCAGCGGACGGTGAATGGGATTAAAGCAGATAAATGCTTCCTTAATTTTTAATTGGAAACAGATGCAAAAAGCAGTAGATTAACAGCAATAGTGACATTAGCTCTGAGAGAGAAGCTACAGTGGAAAGCAAATCGTGAAGCTCAAAGTGTTCAGTGGTGATTTTATAACTAGTAAGGGAGCGTGTCAGCTGTAACAGCAGGCAAACAACTAATTGAAGAAGATCACTTGGAATAGGATAAGTACCCATTTTCGGGATTAAAGTATACCAAAGCTTTGGTCTGAACCAAAGGACACACTCATTGGACACAAACGAGGCCCCCTGATCTTTCAGAGAGTGTGACTCAGCTCCGTGCAGAGATATCTAGAGCTGCAATGCAGGGTTAAGACACCAACTGTCCAACCATTACTCATGCTCCTGGGAAAACTCCAACAGGCTCGCTCGCCACTCTGGGAAACAGCACAGAAAGGGAGAAATGTTATAGTTAGAGCACACAAAAAAAAAATGTTAAATACTTAGTGTACTTTCTAAATGTGTGAAGACAAATACCTTCCACCAACTTTGAGGGAGGTTTTTATGGAAATAATTGACATTTAGTATTTTTCTGTGTTTGATAGTAGGGCTGTAAGTTGCCTTTACAAAAAAAACCAAACAAAAAAACCCAAACCAAAACCAAACAAACCCCAAACCCTCCATTCGCTATTTGATATGAGAAGCACTTTTCCTTTGTGCTTTTTAAAGTTGTTCTAGCACCCTAGGAAAATATTGGGATGAGGGGGAGAAGAGTTGGAAAATATACTTCAATCAAAGGAAACAAACAATACTTCAAGAAGCTTTGGAAAAACATAGATATATAACTCTACTGGTAGCATTGTAAAAGTAACAAAAATAGCCCACCTTGGAGAAAAGTTAATGCAGCGAGATAAGCAGGCAGTATGTCCGATGCTGCAAAGGGGGACTGTAAAGATTGCTTGAAATGGAAAACTCTCTTGAAAACTGTGTAATTTATCTAGCTGAGTGACACGTACATGGATGTCAAGTCCACCCAGTACACTAATCCTATTGGGAAAAAAATTGGCAAATTTGGTTGCAGTTAATAAAGAGAAACTCATGAGTAAGAGATATAAGGTTGAATGTGAAGTTGGCCGTAGGTGCCACTGTTAAAGGTATTGACCTCAGTCCTTGACCAAAAGGGAGACTGATGACCCATGTGTCATGAGCAGCGGCAAAATTTACTGTCAATATAGTCAAATAAGGGAGGAATTTTTATGTCATTAGCAGCAGTGAACTGAAACTGATTATAACTGATTGATAAAAGGAGCCTGGGATAACTGATTTGTCCTTCAGCTTGTGAAAATAACCCCAATTCTTTTTTTCAGATGGTAGGTAAGATTTGCTATCAGCATATCATTGAGAAAAAGTGGTTGCAGAAAGACATGTGAGGACTTTTTATTAAAAACATCAGAAAAATTGATTTGTGAGGAAGTAAGAAAAATATTGAAATTATTATCAGAGATTTATTTTAAGCTTACACC